GCAGCTGCAGAAAACCATCTGGGGGGTGCTGGGAGAGTGGCACTCCTGCGGGCACACACCCACAATCTCTCAGTGGCATTGCTGGACAAGCAGCAGCCTGCTCCCTCGCCAAACCGTTGCTGGGTGCTTTGGGTGGGCATGGGAACAGCACCCACGTGGCACGGGAGCCGGCGCAACGGACACACAGTCCTTCCAGCTGCCCTGGGAACGCCGACACCGCTTTGCGCCGTGGAGCAAACTGCCCTGAGTGAGCTGGTACCGCGGGCTCACGTCGTGCCTGTGGCAGGGGTCCCCCGCGCTCGTTTGGCAGGCAATAATTACCTGCTGGCTGTTGCAAAGAGACCAACAGTGGAGCTGCTGCACTGAGCCTCCTGTCCGTAGGAGGGGCTGCTCCTCCGGGGCCATCTCTGTCCCAAGAACGTAACCAGGGGATGTGATGGGAGTGGAACTGGTGATGCAGGGCGGGCTGGGAAGCTTGAGGGTGGCACCGCTGCCAAGAAAAAGCATCTTGGGGCCCGTGGCCATGATTGCTTTTGGGACTTGGGTCAGAGTTGCTCCAGATTCACCAGTTGGTTCAGAAGCTGTTGGCAAACAGAGGGATGGCTGAGGCTTGGGAAGCGGCTGAAAGGGAGCGCGGTGCGTTAGAGGGGCCGGTGGTGGAAATCCATACGCATCACTGCAGTGCTAATAACCCACCCCATCTGGTTTGTGGTCATAGTGCTGCAGGGTTTGTTTCCAGGCGTGGCACTGCAAACCACTTTTCAAAAAGCCGAGGAACGGAAATGTTTCTTTGCGTTTAATTTTGCAAAGGTTTAATTTTGCAAGTCCAAAATTTCAGACCGGATTTTGCCCAAATGCTGCTGATGCTCCTCTAGTGCCGGTGCTGTGAGGATGTATTACATTAAAACAAGTAGTATGGTTATACGTAGATCTGACGTGAAATAATCACTCACTGAGATGCTGCTGAGCTGCAGAAGTGCTGTTTTGTGAGCAGAACGCCGTTAATTAGTCCAGAGGTGGCAGTATTTATTCAGAGAGCTCATTGCTCTGCAGTTCCGTGATGTAGTGATGCTGATCCGGTTATCCAAGAGAGATTTCTCACGGCCTGGGCGAAACTGTGACACTGGCACTTGCCAAGAGGGGCGCTAGGGATTGAGGCATCAGTCAGCTCAATATTCCGAGCCATGATTGTCTTCCTCGGGAACAAGCCCTTGCTGGCAGGTACAGGATTAGCTGTGCCTGATGACCTGATCTCCTCTAGGGATTCTGCTAAAATTAACGGACAGCGCAAGACTGTCGATAAAAGCCCTGGGTTTAGTGGAGAGCCGCCAGCATTGTCTTCTGGTCTGAGCATGGGATCGGAGCCAGAACTCCTGCCCTTCAGCTGGGCTCTTGTCCTTCGCCTGAGATGGGGAGAGAAAGAAAAACCCATTTAGGTTTGTGTTTTTCAGGTGTCTGTGCACTCTTTGAGTGCTTCAGTTGTTCACTGGCCAACTTGCATCTTAATGGTCACTTCTCAGACTCGCTGAAAAGCATTTGGCTTCCGTGGATGTTGTTTGGAGCTGTAGCTGCCCAACAGTTCTGGAAATCAGGCAGCCGTTGTCTGCTCTGGGGTTTATAAAATTAGCAAACACTTCTGTAAGGGTAAACAGCCTTTCTGCAGTGTAACGTGAGACGAGTGCCCTGCTGGCCCTCAGCGTGCAGGGGCAGTCAGCAGGCTGCTGGAGCTCTGGCACAGCCCTGTGCTGGGCAATAATTAGGCAGAACAGGACCCCGATGCTTAAAACCAGAGCAGGGCTCCACGTGGTGCTACACGGGCACGGTCTGAGCATTGGCTTGAGGTTGCTGCTTGTGGGGTTCTCCTCAGAGAGACGAGGCTGCTGTTTTCTTGCAGGCAGAGCTGATTGTGGGTGATCAGAGTGGTGCCATTCACATCTGGGACCTGAAGACTGACCACAACGAGCAGCTGATTCCAGAGCCTGAAGTTTCCGTCAATTCGGTTCACATTGACCCCGATGCCAGTTACATGGCAGCTGTGAACAGCTCGGTGAGCTCTGGTGGCCTTGAACGTGGGATGGGCTTTGTGGTGCTCTGCATCTACCGGCTTTGCTGCGCTGTGGTCAGATGTGGAAAGTCTGGGCTGCTTTTGGGTGGGTGACCACCAGCCCGGCCACGGGTGCCCCTGTCTCACCACAGGGCAATTGCTACGTATGGAACCTGACGGGTGGCATCGGAGAGGAGGTGACGCAGCTGATCCCCAAGACCAAGATCCCGGCGCACAACCGCTACGCTCTTCAGTGCAAGTTCAGCCCCGACTCCACGTGAGTGTGTGCCAGCCCCGCGCCTGCCAGCGGTGGGAAGCCAAGGGTCCTTTCCGGGCCTGCAGAGGCCAGCTGTGCCTCCAGCTGTTGGCTGATGCTGGTGAGCTTGGTGTACTCCTTCACCAAGTCTGTTAGGCTGGAGTCTCGTAAAGCAGATGATACAGGTGTGAAGAAATGTGATTACAATGAACGCAGGTCTCCAGTTCATTCCTGTTCCAGGCCCACGTTAAGGAGAGGCTCTTAGGTGTACAGCGTGGCTAATAAGGTTACCCACGCTTGTCTCTTCTTTGCAGGCTCTTGGCTACATGTTCTGCAGATCAGACATGTAAGATCTGGAGGACTTCAAACTTCTCCCTGATGACAGAGCTGAGCATTAAGAGCAATAACCCAGGGGAAACGTCTCGGGGCTGGATGTGGGACTGCGCGTTCTCCGGGGACTCCCAGTACATCGTCACAGGTGAGCTGTGCTCCTGCCCTTGGCCCACCACTCAATTTGGGCTGTGCCCAGCCCCCAGCAGCAGGGCCTTGCACTAGCCCAGGACTTAACCAGTTTCTCTAACTGGGACATTGCCAAACCCTCCTGCAGCAGTACGTGAGGAGAGAGCACCCAGCTCACACCCGCAGCGCAGTCTGCAAACGCCGGTGCTGCAACAGGGCATCTGTTTAAACTGGAGAGATGATCTTCATGCGTGCAGATTATTTCAGCTGGTAGCAGTGCTGCTTGCAGTGTGCAGCATGGTAGTCCCTTCAAAGCATACCTGTTGTAATTTCCATAGGAACTTCTCTCTGAAATAATGAAATCCTCACATAATACAGAAACTCACTAAGCTTCTTGCTCTGCACAGCTCCCTTACCTGTCATCAACAGCACTAACTGTTGAACAAAGTAAGAGAAAAGTCATTCTTGTGATTGAAAAAAAGCATAAAGGGTAATACAATATCTCCCCCTCCTCTCTTCACTTTCTGTTCCAGCCTCCTCTGATAACCTGGCCAGGCTTTGGTGTGTGGAGACAGGAGAGATCAAGAGGGAATACAGCGGCCACCAGAAAGCGGTCGTCTGCCTTGCTTTCAACGACAGCGTGTTGGGGTAACGGCCACATGTGGAGAGGGAAGGACCTCTGCTTGTCTCACAGTGCCAAGCACCCTCTCCAGAGCCCGAGACACGCACTTGTCACCATCCCCTCCTCTGATGGAGAGCGCTCGGTCTCTGGCAGAAGCAGCTGCATCTGCCTGGAGCGAGACCAGGCTTCAGTGCCCAGCAGATCATTACCGAAACGTGCGTGGCCTCGAAGGGAGGCCGCTTGGACAAAAGGGAATGGGAGAGGGAGGCACGGTCCCGCTGAGAGGAGCTGGGTACGGTTCAGCTGGAGGAATCCCTGTGGCATCGGCTGCTGACAGCTTTGGGATGCTCTTGTACCCCAAAGTGGAAAAAAAAAAAAAAATAAAAGTCAGCCTTTCTAAATGATGGAAGAGGCTGAGCAAAGAGTGAGCAAAGAGAGGAAAGGCAGCTGTTCTCTTGGTTTGCAATCCCTTTATTCAAAGTGTATTTCACAGAGCCACTTAGAGAGCTGCACTCTTACAAAGCCAACCTCCCCCAACAAACGTAATGACCGTGTGTTGAACAGGGCAGGCAGCCCTAAAACACTGCCTACCCCACGGGTCCTCTACGCCTGGGTCTCCTAGTACCTACGTACAAGACGCAGCCCTGGAGCACAGCTGCAAATAAAAGTGTCTGCACTGACAGTGCTGAGCAGAGTCCTCGTGTTTTTCTGAACGCTCCTGCACTGCAGCACGAAGTCAGCAGGACGCTTTTGGGGGATGCCGTAGACGTTACCTTCCTTGTTGGAATCGGAGGCTTTTCGGGAATCCCGTTCAAGTATGTAGAGCAGTGAGGGCGGCTGCGGGACTTACTCGGGGAGGTAATAGAAGCAGATAGACACGCAAATGTTGCTTGGAAAACAGATGTCAATGCAAAGGTAGATCAGCCGCTGCCTGCCTGGGCCTGCCAAATGAGCGAGGACAGAAGCAGGGTGAGAGTCCCCGGGGAGCCAAGCAAGGGAAAAGCCTCAGGGAATGACCTGTCTCATTAAAGCTGGAGTAAGACAGGAGAGAATGAGAGCTGGGCAGGGCACTTCTGGCAGATAAAGGTGCCAAGCGTTGCACCAACAGCATCGTAGGGGACTGCTGTGTTGTGGCTGTGCCACGCAGGCAGACGCTGCTGCCCGGGGAAGGGGGTCGGAGCCTTTCCCAGCTGGCACCTCAGTGCGCTGCGGGTTGTGGGTATGAGCCAGCACTCAGCAATCGCTGAACAATGGTTTGATTTTGAACTAGAGGGCACCAGGATGTGCATTAGCTTTTGTGCGGCAGGACCTGCTCATCTTAGGTGTACTAGGATCAGTCATGCTTCCCTCTTCTGCAAAGGGATGCGTACAACTTACCCTCCCCTCTCCTGACCCAGAAGATGGATGTCTGCTCACACAGGGTCTGGACAGCCTCCCCCAGGCTTTTGGGGTCCACCTGTTCCCCTGCCAGAATGCCCAGGAACTCCTGGTAGTACTGGGTCTGGTTATTCTGATGTGGCAGCTGATCAGCCTGAAAGAAACATCCCTGTTAATCCCTCCCGGAGGCACTTCGCTCCTCCTGGCACTGCCCTCCAGCCCTGCTCCCGCTTTCACGGCACCCGAGGGGCAGTCCGTGCCCTGGCACCAAGCGCAGGTTTCTCCCGACAGCCACCCCATCCCAAGGAGCAGCCTTCCGGGGTGAGGCTGGAGCGGGGACAGCCCCGTCCCCACGCTGGGCTGCTTCGTCCCCAGGCCTGGAGCGAAAACAGCCCGTTGTGCCCGGCACTGGCAGGGGAGCACCGGTCTGCCCCGTCCCTGCCCCTGCTGGCCTGACACCGACAACTCTTTTGCTTCCGTTAAGGAGCCTCAGAGCCTGGCAGATTCTTCTTCTTACATCCCGTTCTGTACTCTGCTCTCCGGCGGGCCGTGTTCCTACACTCCTCTGGGTTAAGCATTGCCCATCGCTTCCCAGCTGGGGGGCAGCAGCAGGTGAGGGACCAGGAGCCCCTGAGGAATCGGAGAGCAGGTGGCAGGGGCACAAAAAACGGGCCCTTCTGTCTTCTTGAAAGAGAATCTGCCCCCTACCTGCGCATCCATTAACATTTTGTTCAGAGGGTCCATGCATGTGATTTACTCCCAACTTTTTCCCCTGCGAATTGCTAACAAACCCCCTTTGTTTTTTGTTCCCTGGAATTCTGAGCAGGTAACAGAAGCCAGTGGGAGCGGGTCCTGCGAGAGCCCTGCTATTCACCTCCGAGGGACACAACCCCCTTCCCCAGCCCGCAGCTCTGCTGTTTCTCCCAAGGGTATCGGTAAAACTGGGAGCTGTTGCTCTGAGCTCGAGCGCTCGGAGCCTGGCGCTGCAGGGCAGAGCTCTGCTCCTACACCAGACACCAACCCACCCCCCACCCCGAGCAGTGACCCACACAGAGCGGGGGGCCTGGCAGAGCCCGTGCCCTCGGGTAGCTGCGTTTGGGACGCCGGTGCGCGAGGGTCACCGCTGCCAACACAAATCCGTGCAAGAAGAGGCCGTCAGCGAGCCAGGACTCCAGGCAAAGCCCAACCCATCACCCCCATCCGCCCGGGCACCCCGGGGCACGGTCGCAGCAGCTGCTCACGCTTTGCTCGGAGGCGTTGCGAGGCGTCTGCAGGGCCCGGCGGTCCCAGGCGTCCATCCTCCTCAGGTAGCACGCGCGCGGCTCCGCTGGCTTGTAGCACACGTAGCCCTGCGAGACACGTGGACATTCCTCCTTTCGCCCTGCGTTACCTTTCCTAACTGAAGGTGCAGAGAAAGGCACCAAGCAGTGGCTGGTGGATGTTTTTCCTGGTTTCCACCTCCCGCTCCCACCTCAGCAGCCCGGGCTCCTCCGCTGGCATCTGTGCCAGCGAGGCAGGAAATCATCCCGACACTCACGTTCCGGCTGTCGTACAGCACCACGGCGGTGCGGTGACGCTGCGAGGTCACGTAGTAGGTGACGGTGCTCCTGGACTTGTCCACCAAGGCTGTCTGGTTCCAAAGCGGGTCTGGCTGGCCCTGGGGCGTTAGCCGGACGAGCTGCGGGTCAGCCTGGGACAAAGAGAGGGAGAGCAGCACCAAAAATCCGCTGTCCAGTGTCCGTGCGCAGCATTTCCCCACCGACATCCCCCCCAGACCCTTCGCTGGTCCCAGTTGCTTGTCTGAGTAATTCAGGAGAAGGAGCTCTGACCCACGGGAGGGGGCAGGGGGACCTCCATCACATGGGACTGGGGGAGAGGTGCTGGTGTCCCCCCTGCCAGAGGCACCCACCCTGCCTGGGTGCTGCCGGAGGACAGGACCAGGGCACTCACCACCCTCTGCCACAGCCGCAGGTGGGGGGAGGCTGGGAGCTGCCCCCTGGCAGCGCAGCGCGTCTGAACGCGCCTGCGTAGCAAAATGGCAGCTGGCAGCTGTATTTGCAAAGCACCCGCTGAGGTTCCTCTCATTTAAGCAACGGTTCCTGGCAGGTGCCTTGCAGGGGTGAGACAGCCCCTGCGGCGCTGCCCGCACCTTCCTGCCCGTCTGCCCGCGCCTTCCAGGGACGGGAACGGGCCAAACCCAGCCCTGATCCCAGCCCTGATTCCAGCCCGTTCCTCCCTCCTGGCAAATGCTTCTGACATGGGTCAGGGCTGCGGGCAGGAGGTGTCCTGCCCGGATCGGGTCCCTTACCTGGGCAGAGCTGGGGGAAAGGCTGAGAATCCCCCCGACGCTGATGCCAACAACTGCAAAAAACAAGGCAACGGCCAAGATGATCCAGAATGTCCTGGATGGAGCTGTGGAGCATGCTGCAGCCCTCCTGTCCTGGGAAGCAAGGCAAAGGGAGGAAAGAACAGGAGTGAAGATTAACCCTTCTGCTGGTTCCTCTTCCTCACCATGCCACGCACCTCCCGCTCACAACACAAATCATTGGGCAAACTGCCGGGGTTTGAGGGCAGAACGGCCACAACATCATAGTGGCCCCGGAATAATGTCACTTTTCCCTCCCAGCACTGAGTTTCAGAGCTGCCAGGCTGGTAACCAGCACTCCCACGGCCGAGCGCTCTCCCCCTGCGGCCGGGGAAGGAGGCGAACGCTGCGAACCCGCCGAGGAAGGGCTGGAGCAGGAAGATTTCCACAAATGGGCTGCTCTGCGCTTCAGCAGCACATCAAATCATTTTGGGTTTTGGTTGTGTTTTTTGGTTTTGGTTGTATTTGATTTTCCTGGTAAGCTGTTCTCCGTGCAGACCAAGCTTGGCAGTCATGTGGCACTTCTAGCGGCTCGATTAAAATTCACTTTAATTCTTGTACTGAAACTATTCGATTTAACTTAGTGGCACATAAAATCACTTTTACAAAGCAGAAAGAATGTGCTTTCAATAACAGAGTTTCAACCACACTTAAAAAAAAATGATAAAATCTATTTCTCGATCTTCTGAAGCACACAGAGAAATTCCAGAAAAGCCCATGGTTAGATTTGCTCCAGCTGCACAGGAGTCAGGTACTGATCTTTTTTGGTAATGGGTAAGTGCCACACATATTCCACCAGAAAAGCAGTGAGTCGTGCCCAGTTAAAACCGCGTTAAATGGTGGAAACTTTACAAATTCAACCACGTCGGAGCCCAGAGCACGCAGTAACGAGCAGGTTTTCAGTAGCTAATGAAATTCCCTGGGTGGGAAAGGTGCAAATAAAGAAATTCAGTGGCTCCTGGCCCTCGGCAGCTCACGCGTGCCCACGCATCCCGGGCGGCTCCGGTGTGCCGGACACGGGCGCAGCCGGTTGATGCCATTTGAGGCCGGGCACTCCCAGGAAAACGCAGCTGCCTTGCGAGGAGCTGAGGTTGGGGATGAACCCAATCCTACCAGGATCCGCAGGAAGGGCACAGCTCGGCTCCTTTGAGAGAGGAAGCAAGCACAAACAGAGCGGGCACTCTGCCCGCGGTAACAGGGACTGGGGATACTCACTGCAGAGATGGCATCGCCGGCGCTGGTCCTACCCTCCATCCTCCGCTTCAGCCGAGGATCCCGTGGCTCTGCCTCCTGACTGCACACAGCCTGAGCATGATCCCAGCTCCAGGTGTGCCCGGGGGACCTCAGCGTGCGCCCGCCGACCGTAAATACGCAGCCAAAGGGCTTCCCAGCCTACGGGAGGGTGAAACCTTAGAGCTGCCACCTGCGAGAGGAGAAGGGAAGGGGGGGACAACCCGGGGCTGCCGAGCGGTGCTGTCAGTGCCTGAAACTGCTCTTCCTGCTCACCTTGCGGGCTGGGGCAGGTGGGCGACAATCGGGGGCTTTGTGTTGGAAAGGCCCGAGGAGCGGGCGCGGGTAAGTCTCAGTCCGGCACAATGGACAGGGAGAAGCGGCAGCCTGCCCTTGTCGTCAGTTATTTCTACTTTTCAACACGGACTTTGTGCTGCCGGAGCTCCGTGGGCTGAAGCCAACCGTTTATCCTGCTGCCCTGCGAGCCCTGGCTGCACGGACGCGCTGGCATTCCACCTGCGGATCTTGCTCTGTTCAGACCTTGGGGAAAAGGATCTCCGCTGCAAATCACGGCTGCAACCGGAGCTGCGCTCGTGCCAACACCCGGGCACCGTGACGAGAAACACCCCGCAGGGAACAGCGCTCCCAGGTCGCCAGGCCGTGGTTTTCCTGAGCAGCCCCGGAGCCCCTGGGAGAGCTCTGTGTTTCTGAGACCTGCCAGCCAGACGTGGCCAACTGAACAGAGGCAAGGAAAAGCTCGGCAGAATTCCTTCCCGTGGTGTCTGCCAAGGGAAAATTCAGCTTTAGACGTTCTCCTATCGAGCATGGCCCAGGACTGATCCAACTCAGCGAAGAAGGTGGCTCATCCGGGAGTTTCTTGTCATCAAGGCAGTAGCAATCCCTCTCCCTGCTCATCCTTCTTCCTCCCGCAAGTATAAAATAAGCTTTCAGTCGGTCACCAGCTCGCTCCAGCACGCTGCTTCTGTAGGGTGCAAGCTCAAACCCTGGCCCAACACACCTGGACACTGGCCAGTGGGATTCAAACCATCATGGTCACTCCTCTAAACCAGCAAAACCGGGAACGTGAGGCTGCAGCATCCGCGCTGTGGCTGCGAGGAGAACGGGACCGGCTCCCAAAGCTTCTCTAAAACATTGTGAAAGAATCACCGCGCCGGGGAAAGCATTCCGCTCCGTGCTCTGCTCTTACCCAAAGCAGCAACTCCCAGCCCACGCTGAGAGCCCCGCACAGCTCTGGGCATCTCAGCCAAAGAAATGTGCCCCAGGGTTTGGAATAAAAACGTGTAAGGAATACAAATGATACACACAAACTGCATCCCTAACTCCCAGAACATCCGCACCAAATCTGACAAAGAGGAGAGCACAAAACGAGACAACGCCAGGAGGGAGCAGGTTTCTAGATTTAATGTGGATTCAAGTAGAGGTTTCAAAACCATTTGGAAGTTGATACAGAGCTTTGAAGCACGACTGACACCTTCACCAGCACATTCCAGCACACGTGAATGGAGGTAATGGTTCCCTTGTACAGCGAGCAGTGCTTGGCAGGGACAGCCCGAAGGCCTCTCCGGGCATCTCCTGCTTTCCTTGACATATTCTGAAATCCTGAGCACCAGGTAACAGGAACTGAATCGAAGAACACACTGTTCTCAGACCCTGCCTGCAGTAAAGCCACAATGTCCACTTCCACCTCACCTAGATAAAAGGAAAGTTCTACTGGAAGTGTTTCTCCGTGACTGTGTGAGTCTTCTAGTGGAGGCAGGAGCAGGGATGAGGTGACCCGTGCTTCCCCACACAACCCCCAGTTACAACAGAACACCCTTTTACGAGATCCAGGTAACACTCTGGGAACACCAGAAGCCAACACGAGTTATTGCTGTACAAACAGGGTGAGAAAGCTGCTCGTCTGAGTGTCCAAGGGGAAGGAATGGCACCGACACACTGCTGGAGCTGTCCAGTGGAACAGTGGGAGATGAAGGGAGGCCAGTGCTTAAATTTGGCTGCTGATACTGGAATCTATGGAACAGAAGCATGTTATTTGCATATATAATTTTTCACTTAATTCTGTAACGCAAAAGCTTTCAACTGTGGCCTTTGGTTCAGCCAGCACAAAAATCCACCCTGTAGCCTGAGCTGTCCATCACCCCATGAGAATCTTCACCCGCACGTGAAGATGAAAGCAGAACCCCCACCTGAGCAAGCAAGCACTCCTCTCCAGACAAGCAGCTGGCACCCGGCCCCCGTGCCGGGCACACATGGAAGATATTAACCTCAGGGATTTAAAGGAAGCACGTGCCATCGTCACACGCAGCCGGCACTCAGAGGCTTATTTTGGTGGCAAGCTGTGCCACATCCACGGGTGGCAAGCTGTGCCACATCCAGCCCCCGTGGACCGAGCACTAATTCAGACTCTGCAAGCGGCTGTTCTGATGCTGAGGGAAGCACGAGGACTAACTCGGTGCTCATCCAGTTATTTCTGGGAAGCAGCAGTAGTGAAGGACAGTCCTGTATGTTCCAGACTTTCTGCATTACCAAATGCAGAAGCTCAGGAGAACTAAACCTACTGTGATCAGTGAAGTACATTCCTCTCATCCTCCCTTCTGGGACACAAGATATATTATCATCTACTATACGTAAATTTATCTTTTATATATATTCTGACATATATTTGGGATGGGGTAGTGCCTGTGTGTACATGTACTTTACACACACTTGGACAAACACAGCACACAGAAGCCACCGTCCGTGTTTCGTGAGTGGAACCATCCCAACCTGCATCCCAAGTGCGATTTGCAACGGTCGGATGAAGGAGGCGGATTGCAGTTTCTGTGAGGTGGCGCTTGCAGCGGGCTGTACTGCTGAGCAGGACCCCATCCAGAAAAAAAAAATAATTAAAAATAAAAACAATCAACCTACGGCCAAGCACTAATTCTGCCAGCCACCGCAAGCGTTTCCAAACACAGCCACTGAGCTACTCCACACTCCAAGAGTCATTTCCCTGAATAAAGGAGACCAAGCCACGGCCCTTCCCAGCAAGGACACATCTACTGGGATCTCTCCCTACACTCAGCCAGCTCTCCTTTCCTCAGCTCAGCCTAGAGGACAACGTGACACGGAGTACTGCAAATATTTGGATAGATGTGTTGCTTATAATTAAAAAAAAAGCTCCAAGCCCACTAGACCTGGGTGACACCGTCATGTCCTCCTGGTTTCAAAGTGCATTTCAAGACCGAGATGTAAACAAAATCATGTCGAGAGGGCAGAAGGGTTAAAAAGCAAAGGGTGGCTAACTCGGGGTGGTCCTAGTGAGTACGTGACCATCACGGGGTGGTGAACAGGGGCCCTCCTCGGGGTGCCACTGCAGAGGCTGCAGGCATTTTGCTCCCTTACTCCCCCAGCGCTGGCAGGAGGTCAGCGATGCTCTCGACGTAGTAATGGGGAACCAGGCTCTGCCTGGTGGGACAGCCGCTCTCCTGGTGGCCCTGCACCTCCTCCAGCGTGGTGACGCCGGTCAGTGTCAGCAGGGTGGTGAGGCCGCAGCTGTTGCCCATGAGGATGTCTGTGTCCAGCCGGTCTCCCACCATGATGGTGCGAGCAGGATCGATGTCGAACTCGCTCGCCACGCAGTCGAACATGTACCGGTTGGGCTTCCCCACGATGAACGCCTCGCGCTGGGCCGCTGTCTCCACCGCTTTCACCAGACAGCCGGTCCCTAGGGATAAAACACAAAACGTGGATCAGAGGCTGCAGAAGACTCTCAGCACGGTGGTCTGGAAACACAATGCCTCAGCTTTACAGACAGGACAGGCAGGGAAACGGGTTAGTCCCAAGAAGGTGGTGTGTAAAACCTGCCGGGAGGCTGGAACACCGTCCCACATCGAGACCAAGAAGGAACCGCTATTCCCCGAGAAAAGGATCGGCAAACAGTCTCTCTCCTTTGGCAGAGTGCAGCGAGGAGGGGGGAAGCGCAGGCTCCGGGATGCCCGGAGCGTCACACCGAGCTGCCAGCCTGATGCTGCCCTTGTGCCGACATGCAGGACCGGGTGCAGGGGGCCCCCAGAGCTCGGGGCCTCGCACGG